TACATTTACATGCACTACAACAAATAGAGTGGATAAATGTAAAACTGCAGTATGATATACATTTTTTAATAGAAGAAAGAAAAAAAATTATGATATACATCATTTAAGAGCTGAGCTTGAAGTTTGATGAGTTATATATACCTCTGAGAAATCTATTTATGATTTCTCTAGTGAAGGACGACCTTCAAGAACCCTATCTTCATACAAATTGTTGGCCTTTTTAAATGACCCAATTATTCATATAGCAAACTTTCACAAGATAGTACCATTGCAAAATTAAAGTTCACATTCATGCACACAATTTCGTACTACACAATTGCAATATACAAGTTATTATAAACATGGGTAAAGTGAATGTGTGTCTTGGCAGGAGAATAAAAATACAAATTAGGAAATCATCAATAGTGCATTTGGCATTGTTCAAATAGTTAAAGAAGCACAATCTCATAGAAGAAGAAGAGCAAGACAATGGAACTAGATAAATGCAAGAGCTGTCAAACCTTCAAGTTTTCCAAGAACGGCACCAACACAATCTTGGCATGATACCAACCTCGAGGACTATAGACTGCACCAAAAATAGATCCAAGATTGAATTATGAAAAATAGAGAAAACCAAGATCCAACATATCCCAACTTTACAATATCAAACTTCTGTTAAAATATTGGCATTCTCATAAAACTTACAAACTCCACAATCACTTTTGGAGATATCCTCCACCTCAAGACATAATCAATTTACGTAGTTCATTCAAAAAATCACATCCCAAAACAGAACAAACAAATTTAGATCATTGAACCAAATTACTGTGTTTCTTCAATTGTTTTTTGTCAGAATAAAAACCTAACTCAGTAATTAAATTCAACAAGCAAAAGAAAATCTTCAAAATCATTGTAGATTGGACAAGCTTCAAACATAATATTCCCTAAGACACATTGAGAAATATTTGTTGCACAATCTCAAAATTTTGGTTCAAAAAGTTCTTGTATAATCACACTGAAATAACATTCTCTACACAGGCTGAAAATATTAATTGTAAACAAAGAGAGTAAAATTTTTAATTAAACCCACAATTATGTTTCAACAAATTTCTGTACAATCTCACCCAAATTTGACTTGGAGGGACTTGAACTCACATCAAACACCAAAAATCCAAACCCATATATGAAATTGAAACAAGGAGAAGAAAACCCAAATGTGTAGGAGAAAAGCCAAGCTGTCTACCTGAGAAGCCATCTCTAGGCATGGAGGTCGAAAGAGGTGATAGAGAGTGAGAGATGGAGGTGGAAAGGTCGTCGTCGCTGATGTGGGTTAAGGTTTCTGAGGAGGTGCCAGTGACTGTCATCGATGTGGGTGTGAGCAAGAAAGAGAGAAGAGAGGAGAGGAGGGCTGAGTGAGTGAGATCAAGAAATTGTGAAAGAGGATTTGAGAGAGCTCAGAACGACTAAACAAAAGTGAAAGATGGGCAATAGGCTGTCAGTAAGGAGTTTTTATAAAGGGCATTTGTGATTGGGTTTCAAAATAAGGATATTAGTGAATAAATTAGGTGAGACAGGGGTAAAGCCGTCAATTTCCCTATTATATATATATATATATATATAATAGGTAGATGAATGCGGCTGGAGCCCTTTGGGTGGTCTGCAAATGGGCTGAAGTGTTCACAGGTCAAAAAGCTAATGGTCATATATATATATATAATATATATTATATGCATGCGGCTGAGTTCTTGCAAATATGTGGTGCCCTCTTTATAGTGTAGTGAGTTCTTCATATTTCTAGTGTAAGTTTATATTTTTCTTGTCATTTAAATTCTTGTTTCGATTTATATTTCTTGTCATTTAAATTCAAGTTTGTTTCTATTACTTTAATTTTCATTGTTATCGCACTTCAATTGAGTTTAATTTCATGTTTATTTCATTATATCGTTCTTGTCGCTTTTGTCTCGTTCTTGCTTTATTTATCGCTTTGATTTATTTTATCGCACTTCAATTCTTGTCTTTACGTTTATACGCATATTTAGTTTAATTGCATTATTTTTACATAAAATCCTAAAAATCTCAAAAACATCCGTACGAAACCTAACCATCCTCTCAAGCCCGCGGAAGTGAAAGAATCTAGGCCAAAAGGAGGTTCCTTGCTTGGCCGATCAATTGTTTGGTCAGAAGTTAGAAGAGCAACACATCCATCTACTCACATTCCATTCAAGCTCAAATTCGGAGCTTGGTGGTGGCACGCCCCGCACTCAAAAGAAGAAGGACCAAAAGTTCCTTCCGTCGGCCGCCCCGGCCGAAAAGAGGGAAACAAATAGAAGGCATAATATAAGCCTCGTTCATGGTAGTTAACCTAAATATTTTTTTTGTATTTGACTAGGAACGTGAGCCCCTTAGGTGCATGTCGAAGACATCTATCCTACGTGAGTGGAATTGGTGGGCTAACCAAATAATGGTATATTCAAAGGGTACATTCAGAGGTCTGGATTAGAGCAACTTATTAGGTGTTCTTATCGTAATGCAGATAAGATTGTTGCATCTATCTTTGTTGAAAGGTGGCATCCAGAAACGAACATCTTTCACATGCCTTTTGGTGAGATGACCATCACATTGGCTGATATGTCATCTATTTTAGGGGCATCACCTTGTTTTTGTTCCTTTAATGAGAATAAGGTCAAAATAGCTTGCGTTAAATTTGTGGTCGACAATAAGTTACTGAAAAAATAAATATATTTCTGTTCATTGTCATTGAATTGTAAGTAAAAATTCAGTAATACACCACCGAACACCTTTCCATGTTACAGTGGATCTCCACCGCATCTTAAGTTAACGGCCAGTCAAACACAACCGAAATAAGTGCAATGTTTCGATAGCATCCCACTAAATTTACCTATCGCGTTTGGTACTGGTGTGCTGAACGCAAACAGTGGCCATTATGAAATCCTAAACTTGAAAAATGCCAAAAAAATAAACTTATAGCTCATTTCGAAGCCCCTCTAACTTCAGTCTCACTCTTCATGAATAAATACAAGTTATTATTTCACCAATATAACTATATAAACCTCGTTAGGGTTGTAGGAACATGATGGTTTGAGGAAAAAAAAAAGTCTAACTAGGGTGCAGGAACATATTTGGGGTGTAGTGAGCAAATTTAATTTTTATTTTAAATTTTTTTTGTCCTTAACGGTAATTATGTACAATAGTAAAATATGTTATTCATATTTAAAATTGGTATGGGGTGCAAAAAGCAAATAATGGGGTGCCAATAAAATCACCCTTTATTATTTCATTTCAGTTTTCTCATGAAGATTTCACAACGTAGACTTCATGACAATTAACTCAATGTGACATTTGTCAAGGCTTCACAATTAGAAAACATTAGTTCACTCAATATATATATATATATATATGTATGGAGATTAACTCAAGTGAATAATATGAAGGATTTAACAATTGGGATATACAGGCGTTGGCATGAATCCAAGACATTAAAGCAAAGATGTAATTAAATTGCATAAATGTTCAGTACATTGGTGTATCAGCCGACTAATCACCTATGCTAGCTGTAATTAAAGGCAATAATCACCTAACAATATCAACAACTTTACTGCCAAAAATAAAAGCTCTAAACGTCATGAAATGAAATTGACATTGAAGTTTTGAAACTAAAGCTGCGTAAAAAATAAAAAAATCTCGTAATTGAGAACAATAAAACGATATTAAGTCCAACAAAAAATATATAAAGGATCGTTATATAAAAGAAGATTAATGGCAACTAAAATGAATGAAGGCAAATGTACTGAGGCCCAACACAATAAAATCAAATATATATACTTGTTCTAAAAAAATATATATACTTGTTTTGAAGTGATTTAGGGATGTGGATAGAGAGTACAGTTGGGAGCATGGTTGGAGTTGTATTTTTCAAATTCATCCTTAAATTTATCTAAAGAAGTGGTTTAGGGAACCCATTGTAGATACTCTCATACCTTATTCAAAGAATATTCCAAAGTTACCCTTCATTTTTAAATTATTTACAGCCACTGTCCATCCATCTCGTGAAGCAAAAAGCCGGCCCTAAAACCATTCTTATTCCTCTCTAACGATCATCATTTAAGAGCTCTTACAAGTCTCCCTATTTTAGGAGGTAGATAGGGAGCATGATTAGAGTTATATTTTTCCAATTCCTCTTTAAAATTTGTAGGTGGTTTAGGGAGCCCATTGTGGATGCTCTAAGAGCATCTTCAACCGATGTATCAACCGTACCACATAGACATTTAACAGCTAAAAATAACATCTCACATCACTCCAACCGATATGTCAAAGCTGATGTGGAATGAAGGTTGAAAGTTGAGATGTTATTTTTGACATCCTAAGAGCATCTCCAACCGATGCGTCAAAAGTGCCATATAGACCTTTAACAGCTAAAAATAACATCTCACATCACTCCAACCGATGTGTCAAAGCTAATGTGGAATGAAGGCTGAAGGTTGAGATGTTATTTTTGACATCCCAAAAGTAAGATGTCAAATGAATATTTTATTATTTTTTCTTTTCTTTTATTTTTAATTAAAAATAAATCAACACTAAAATGTAATAAAATAATAATTTAATTTAACATATCGGGTGGAGTGTAAAGCTGTGTAAAATGTCAAATAGCCACATCAGCCATCAAATTTAAATTTGATGTTTGGTATTTGACATCTCCCTTGGAGATGCTCTAAAAGCAAGATGTCAAATGAATATTTTATTCTTTTTTATTTTATTTTCTTTTTAATTAAAAATGAATTAACACTAAAATGTAATAAAATAATAATATAATTTGACATATCGGGTGGAGTGTAGAGTTGTGTAAGATATCAAATTGCCACATCAGTCATCAAATTTAAATTTGATGTTTGGTGTTTGACATCTTTCTTGGAGATGCTCTAACACCTTATTCAGAGAATATTCCAAAGTTACCCTTCACTTTTAAATTATTTACAGCCACTGTCCATCCATCCCGTGAAGCAAAAACCCGGCCCGAAAACCGTCCTTATTCCTCTCCGACGATCATCTGCCTCCTCCGTTCTTTTCTTCCAGGCGGCTCAGGTGACCATCCTTCATTTCCTCTTTCTCACCGTTAATTTACTCTTTCTCTTTTGGGTTTAACTTTTGAGCAAATTTGTGTATCTTTTTTTCTTTTTTCTTTTTTTGTGGGAATTCGTTGGAACTGCTTCTACTTCTCTCCAATGTTTTTGTTTCTGCATTACAGTAAATGGGTAGGGTTGATGTTTTTTCCCCTCTCATTAATTAATTTCCATACTTTGGAAGTGGCTGCGGAGCAATTCAGTTTAATATTTCCTCGTTTTTGTTTGTATAATTTATTTACTTGGTTAAATCAAGTTGCTTTTGTTGCCGTTTGGTAAGAAGGGATGTCTATGATGTTGGTGAAGTTATTATGATGATGGTTTTTCATATTAAACCTCGCCTACTAACTGTTTGATTAAATGGGTATGAGAATCTCTTTCAGTGACAGTGTTTGCTAAATCGGATATGCTTAACTCTTTATATCTTGCTACACTCATATGCACAGGATTAGCCTGAAAATGCTTCTTTGGGATTTGCATGCGGTTGTCTCCACACGCAAGTTTTGTTAAAGGTCATTGAACTTCTTAACACAGCTGATAGCCTGAGCTGCATTTGTTTTCATTGATGGTTTTAGGCTGCACCAGATGAAGCTTTTCTGGGTAGTGCTTTTGCTCTTCCAGGGCAGAGGCATGGTACATTTTAGTGAACAGCTGCTACTTCTGTTTGTAGGATGTTTTTGACAAGCATTTAGAGATGCTTTTCAAAATTCAAAACTACAGTGACTTTAAGAAAAAATGTTGAATGAGATATATTAGATATAGCATTTCACTACTAGTTTTCTCACTGATGCTTTTCAAAAGCCACTGCAACAAAAAGGAATTTGAATCTGGAGTCCACAGTCATTTCCTTTCTTTAGGTTATCAGTCAGATTATTTTGCTTTGCAATATTAGTTGTTAGAAAGACAATCCATATGAGAATTCAGTTATTAATGGTTTTCTACGTGAACTACATTGTCTTTTCTTGTGCTTCACCTGCTTTGTGTGAGAGAGAGAGAGAGAGAGAGAGAATCTTCAAGAAGGACTGCATTTAGTAGAGTATGCTTATGGTGAGTTGAGAGAAAATGATTTGATTTCTAGTAATAACTTTTCAAATGTCTCATACAGCATTCTTATGTGTGAATGGGTTGGGTTGCAAGGTGAGTTTTTAGAGGAGAATTAAACCACATAAGTGAAAAGATGAGTTGATCTGAAACATGAATATAATCAAAAGTTATTTTTCAGTGTCAAGTAATTGCGTGCTTATAATATCCTATTGTATCTAAACTTTTTGCAGATTCTAAATTTAAATGGCAGCAGTGATGGATGGCTCATCTCAGGATACACAATCTAATTCTGTCACAGGTTTAGATTCTAACAATGTCGAAAGGAGGATGGCAAATGATGATCAGCGCTTCCTCTTGTACTTCATTATGGGTACCTACTTTGGGCCTGGTCTTAAAGGAGAGAACCTGCCAAAGTCAGTTCTGCAAAGAATAGCCGAGCGACTTCCACCATATACTTTTAAGCAACTAGGTGGATCCCACCTGAAAACTGCAGAGGTAGAGCAGGTGTACTATTATGTTCTTCGGAAGGCTGATAAATCTGCCATTGTTAAATTACCTGTGTTATTCCAGTTCTTCCATGGTAACCTCCTTAGCCATCGAGAAGACACCACAGCCAACTACCCTCAGTTTCCTGATCTATTTCCTCTCCTACTCCACCCCCATTCACAGTTCAGTAACAGATACAATATCTTTGAGAACATTGTATTTATTAATAACCCAGAAACGCATTACATTAATACAGAGGATATTGAAAGATTTAAGAGGCTAACTGGGCTGGAGGAGTTTCTTCTGGATAGAGATGCTGCAAGGCTGCATACTTATCCTGATGGAAGTGTTTCATATAATGTGTCGGTACAGGAGCCAGAGTCCAATGGAGAGTCACCTCCCACTAGTTCTTGTCAAAGTTCTAGGGGAACAAAACATTTAGATAATCTCGTGGAATCGAATGATCCTCTGAAACATGTGCATGTTGTGGCACCTATCAGTAGTGTGCCATATAACAGTACGCCTATGCTGTGTAGTTATATGGCCCCTTTATCTACTAAAGATGAGTCTGATCCTGTGGAGAAGGTCGATCCTGCTATGATTTTTCTTCCTTCTCTTCCAACTAAAAGAGAGTGGTCCAATATTGTAGCTGCCACCAGAGATGGATTTGCTTTAACTGGGAGTGCAGCAAAGAGGCAGGTGGGACCAACAATAGGGCTGATTGACATTGGAGAATGTGAGGATTCATACTTGTTTCGTGTATCTCTTCCTGGAGTGCGAAGAGATGAAAGTAAGTTGCTCTATCAACTTAAAAAATTGAATCAGTTACTGAAATGAAACGCATAATAAATAGATTTCCAGGCACATATTAAATATAAAAAATGCTTAACCAATTATTCAAGACACATATTTCACTTGCAATAAACCACGGCTAAGTGGCGGAGGCTTATCTCTCACATATGTCTGCCCACAGCCACTTGTATGGCCTCTTCGATGCTAGCACTACCACTTGTATACTTCATTAACTAAACGGATGCAGAGTGATGATTTCATTTTTCACTACAGGGGACTTCAGCTGTGAAGTTGAAAATGAGGGCCGAGTGTTGATAAGAGGAGTGACAATAACAGGTGAGAAGACAGTCTACAGATACTCTCAGATGTTTGAAATGCGAACACAGAATCTGTGTCCGTCAGGGCATTTTTCTATCTCATTTCAGCTGCCTGGTCCAGTTGATCCTCAGGAGTTTTCTGGTAATTTTGGGACAGACGGAATTCTGGAGGGTGTTGTGATGAAACGAAAAGATGTCAAATATGCTTAACTAAAATTTAGTCAGTCCCTATATATTTGTGATATTACAAATCCTATTTCGTGATATTGCCGTTGAATGGATGCATGGTGAAGGTCAAATTCTATTTAGTCAGCTGATTTCATATTATTATATCCACATCAGCCAGCCTTAAAGTTCTTATTAATCAATCCTTGCTGACGGAAGGCTAATGTTCTTGAAATCAGTTAACATAGTGTTTTTTTTCTGGTTTTTGAGAGGAACTTTTCAGTTTCTTGATTTACTGATTTTGCCCCAAAGCTTGCTTGGTGGTGGATGGATATGCTAGTAAGCAAGTTAGTGATGTGCGATCTGAGGTCTAGCACATTGATTAGCAGCTTGAATGGCTCCCGCTGATTTGGCAATTGGTTTACCCCGAAAATTAGAATTTAAGTAAATTTGGAACGCCATGTGGATATGCCATGTTGTGTTACTGTTACACAATTATTTTCCTGGAGTTTGGTTCCCGATCAAAAGTACACTGATCCCAATCAAAAGTACACCGATGGTAGCATATGTCAAATAACAGAAGTTAAAGATGTCACCTATGCAAATCTACTACTTACTCCTCAAACCAACATCAAAGGATCCCTTCCCACAAAATTAAATGGTGAAATAAAGACTCAAATGAACAAATGTCAAAAGCACTTCATTGGATACGACTGCACATATAAAAACTGCACCGTCGTGTGTTTCTCACCTCATAATTTACTCAAATCTTTGAAAATAAACTAAATATAATCCCTTCACTAAGAAGCAGACAGTTGTTTCATCAATTCTTGTATTCAGATGCGAAAGAAAAAGTTTGTATACAAAAACCTAGAGCAAATCTGACGTCCTATTCCAGTTAAACAGCTCCATTGTCCCAAAGTTCTATGTTTTCTTTGTGCAATATATGAACTACGATTTCATGCAAACCCGTAACTTAAACCTATAAAGGGGATGGCCGCACTTTCTTTCCTGTACTACAAGGTGTAGGGGGTTACGGACAAAGAAGTATGTTATGATACTATTTACACCACAGTGGATCCATTCATAACTCATCAAACATGTGCAAGGAACATAGCCACAAACATGGACAAAATGGAATCAACAACAGCCGAGTTTTTCGGCTATTTTTTCAACCAGAGCCTCTTTTCGTAACTTATAATACCTTGTCAGCTTGATTTTCTGTGCCAACTTCCTCAGTTCAACTATTTTCTTGTTCTTCAAGCTTGAAATTGTGTGAGGAACCAAAGCCCCAGCGTAAGAACCATCTTCAACAGAGTAGGGTTCTATGATATGAAGATCTTCCGTTTTTTCATAGACTACAATCTGAAGATCTTTCTTACTCCCACCATTTGTTGCATCCTTGTGTGAATCTTGCAAACCCAAATCTACAGGCAAATCTTTAACCTCTGCAGTGAGTGGTAAAGTTGAAGTCCTTTTCCTCTTCTTTTGTGACTGTGAAGCTGAAACTTTGGTGGTGTGAACTGATTTTTTCAAGTGCATCAAACTTAAAAACTGCTTTAAACTGGTGTTGTCATCATCAATTATTGATTTTCTTTCCTTTTTGGAATTTGGAATGAACGATGTATCTGTAGGAGGTTCTTGGGCATTCTTCATACTGAATGGTGATTTCCTCTGTGCCTTTGGCTTTTGTGGTTCCAAACCCAAGTTCACACGGGGTTTCTTGTGAAGGTCAGCATTAGCCTTTTGAGATTCTTCTGCTGGTTCTCCTACATCATTTAACTTAGGCTTGGTTGTATCTTTACCCATCTGATCTTTTGAAGGCAAAGCAAAATGTCCAAAGTCAGTGAGACCACCTTCTTGAAACTTGACTATTTGTAGATTATTACTGACTTCCCCAGCAGCCTTTAAACATGTATTAGAACATACCGTCTTGTTAGCAAGAATAACCTTGGATTCTTTGATGCCCACTTTCCGTGCAGTTTTAGAAACAAAGTCAATTAGCTTCTGCTCTACATCAGATTTTTCATTTTTTCCCTGTCTTGAAGCACATAATCTGGATTCAGAACATTCAGTCCTCTTGTTGATGCCAGCAGATTGTCTCCAAGAATTTGGACTCATATACTTAAAAAGAGCATTTGCAGGCTTCTAAAAGAAAGAGAAACATGTCTTATTACAAGTTAATGACCAGAGAAGGGGTATTGAGCTAAGAATTGTGATCCCTTGCAGTGCAGTCAGCCTGGTACTGCAACTACAGGTTTATAAACAAGGATGGTTTCCCTAGGTTTTAAATTCTTAAGTAAGATAGTGGTAACTGACCATAAGAAAGTAAGATAATTGCTATAGAGAAGAAGTAATTGTATATCTATTACAGAAAAGAGAGAGCTTCTCTTACCTTTTCTATTTTTTGATGGGTTGCTTTCCCTCCTTCCTCATATCCTTTTTCAATCAATCGAGGCATGCATGAATTTTTCATCTCATTTGACCAGCCCTTTGCGTATTTAAGAGAATCTGAGCTGAAATATTTCACAACACCATCTGCCGGCTGTTCAATTGAAATGAAAGAGCAAAAGAGAAACAAAATGTTAAGATCTATGCAAAAATATTCTGTACAAGGAATAAGTCAGACTAGGACCTTTTTATTCCTTCAGTTGAAGTGCACTATGTGAAACATAAGACATAAGGTGCAGTAGTTGTAAACTCTTACAGTACATGATCATATTGACTGTGTTGTACGGATAATTGCATACACATTAAGTGCAGATGTGAATTATACAAACAAATGAGAGCTGCAAGTACCTCAACTGTTCTATCAACACCTGTTCCACATTTATCAGGCCTTGATGAACCTACAATATTTACCATAGGTATTGAAGTGTGTTCTCCCACCTTCTCACTCATGATTTTTGAATTAGAGTTTTTCAATTTGTTCTCATCAGGACAGCTGACCCTTGTACTTGAAGTTTCTTTAGTAACATGCTGTTCATTGTAATATAAAACAAATTATGGCCGGACCATAAGTCATACTATGAGTAACATAGTTGTTACCATTGCAGAGATGTAGAAGTAACATAATTGTTAGAAAGATGTAATTTATCTATAACAGAAAAGAGAGAGGTACTGTAGTAGTTTTAAACTCTTACAGCACATGATCATATTGACTATGTAGTACGGATACACATTAGGTGCTCATCTCTATTATACAAACAAGAGAGCTGCGAGTACCTCAACCAGTTTAACATCTGTTACAGGTCCATCAGGCCTCAATGATGGACCTATATTATCTGCCACAGGCATTGAAGCATGTTCTTCAACCATCTCATTCATAATTACTGAATCAGAAATTTTCAATTTGATCTTCACATCAGGGCAGATGACACTTGTACTTGAATTTTTCATAGCAATATGCTGTTCATTGTAAACAAAAATAAATTATGTTCATACCATAAATCAATATTTTTTATTTTTTATTTATTTTTGGAAAAGAAACGATTTGTATTCATAATTGTTACTATTACAGAGATACTCCCAAGTAGAAGGAATACGTCAGAGTTGGACCTAATTTGAGCTCTAGAAGAAAACCTAAGTTGTGTTTTCAATAATGGTAAACTCTTACAGCACACAAACATACTGACTATGCACTATGGATGCACATTAGCTTCTGATGTACGTTATACAAACAATGCAGCTGCAAGTACCTCAACTGTTTTACCAAAATCTCTTCCAAATCCACCAGGCCTCGATAGTGAACCTGTAATATCTGCCATAGGTATTGAACTGTATTTATCCACCTTCTCAATAATGCTTTCCGAATAAGCAAAATTCAATATGTCATTCTCATCAGGGCAGCTGATACTTGTACTTGAATCTTTGATAGTAGCATGCTATTAAAAAAAAAAAAATCATGTCCAGACTATAAATCCTATTATGAAATTATGAGTGACAAATATAGAAGATAGGTTATTAGAGGTGAAGGTATTAAAAAAACAATGAATCTGCAAAGTATTAAACACATGATCTCCAGCACAAGTTAAGAAAGTAAGAGACAAGTGCTGTTTTGTAGCTACAGCACTACTTGATTTTCAGTTGCACAACTAGGATGCTGCAGATGCACAATCCCTGTAATTTAAATGCGTAAAACAATAATAGTGGATATGCGATTCATGAACTCTGCTTGCTCTCCAGATGGAAACACCAAATGGATCCATAGTTCTAGATAAGTATTGCAAGGGTATAGCCTTCTCTGCATTGCATAAATAATAAGTTCATAACTTGATCTGAGACTGATAGATTAATTGCTATAACAGTTTCCTCAATACTGCAATCACCAGGGACAGTGTTAGCCAGCTCGATAGGCACTTTCTACACTTCAAATGTGAATCTGATAGAAAATGAAAGAAATCTGAATATATAAAAAAGCCATCGTAAGGTCAGGGTCATTTCGTATTGATGGGCGAGTAAGATGTACTTAAAAAGTTATAAAGAAAAGAAGATCATGGCTGCAGCACGGCATGTCTACAACTACAATTGCATAGAAGTTTCAACTAATAGACACATTTATTTAATCTAAATTGCAACACATGGCATAATTTTGCATTGAAATAATGAAAATGAGAGAAATGAAAACAGTGAGAGACAGAGAGAGAGGGAGAGAGAGCGAGAGAGAGACCCAAACCTCAACTTCTAAATTTTGCATACTCTTCTCTTTATGGAACATAGATGCATCTTGAATCATTTCCTTTTCGTCTGGAGCAAGACCTTGTCCTTTGGGCTCCCAGTGCATGGTGTTTTCTGAATATGTTGTTTTCTTCTTGTTGCAGTATCCGGCTGCAAGTCTCAAAGAATCTGAGCTCAAATTCATGATATCAATATTTGCAGGCTGTTGACTGTTAAAAGTCACAGTTGATGCTTTCTTTTCCACAGGAGCATGACCTTGTCCTTTGGCCACCCACTGCCTTGCATGTTCTGAATCTAATATTTTCTTCTTGTCAGAGTAGCCAGCTGCAAGTCTCAAAGAATCTGGGCTGGAATACATGATATTAGTATTTGCAGGCTTTTCATTCTTAAACATCATGGTTGATGTTTTATTTTCCTCACAAGTAAGACCTGGTCCTTTGGCCTCCCATTGCTGACTGCTTTTTGAATTACTCTTGCTTGATGTTTTCTTTTTGTCATAGTAGTCAGCTGCACGTCTTAAAGAATCTGGGCTGGAATCCATGATATTAGTATTTGTAGGCTGTTCATTGTTAAAGATCATGTGTCAACTGAAGGCAATACGACATAATTCATTGTTAAAGATCTCCTAACCTAAATTTAACCCTCTTTTTCTTTTTTTTCAGGGGGAAGGGGGAACATGTTTGTTTATGTGAAATAAGTCGATAAATATTAAAAGACATTGCTCAGTTAACTATCGACATTCTAATCATGAGATAACATCCACAAAATGTTTAACGTTCATTATGGTCTATGAATATTGCATGTTTAAGAAGTTGAAAAACTTCGATTCTTCTAGTCCTGTCTTCTATTAATAACTTGGGGAATCCCATATAGATTATGACCTGAATCAAATCGATTCTTTTTTGAATCTCTATACGTGCAATTCCCTCGACATTAGAGGATATTTTCATATTCTTTTGTACATAATTTTTGATACAATCTCGTATTTTTTGATCTTCTTGTAGATCCTCTGAATAATTTTTTGGTTGCGCAAGTGAGGAAGAATTCACGAGGGCTATAAATGCTTGGGGTAGGTTCGACCTATCTGTTTTCTAGACTCCGCTAGGAATGAGGATGGATTGCTCTTTGCCCGAGGGAACTCTCAAGAGAAGGAGGAGCAGCACATATTATTGCAAACCAGTTCTATTAGAAAATGAGTTCTTTCCGGAAAAAGACCTGCGTACTATCTGATAGAGGCAGTCAGTGGGGAATCTCGTTGTTATGACTGTTGATTGCCTACCAATCGGAGTCTGAGTAAATATAAGGGTCCCGTTAATCCCGAAACGAAAGTCGAAGGAACCGCGGTAACCCCGCCAAATAAAGAAAATCAAAGGGGTCACGCCTTCAAGCCCGTTAACTAAAATTAGAGTCTATTAATTCTTACTGAACTGAGGCCTCATATATATTTGGAATATGGTTCGATTCAGAAGCCATCTAGACAATACAAATATCAAGAGAAGGTTTTGAAATATGGCCCCAAATTGGTGTGAACCTTTAGAAGAAAAAGGTTTTATAAAAGAAATGATAAAATACAAAAAGACAACAAGGAATCCAAAATCAAAGAGAACAAGGAGACCACCAGTCAACAGGATAACACTGATTAAAAGAGAAATACGGCAACAAAACTACAACAGAGAAGCTATCCTAGAGCTGCCTTCCAATCTAGCGAAATAATGGACAGAGAAAGGTCCTTGAAATCTGATAAAACGGAAGTCCACAACAACCTAGCCTCTCTCCTCTACCAAAAGCAGCAAGTCTTTCACTAAGCAATGAATGGAACCCTTCTGGAATTACATGGCTCACTCCGGCCTCCCTGAATAATAGATACCACAAACTTTGAGCTACTGGACAATGAACAAACAGATGATCTGCTCTCCCCTTTCATTTTACACATAATACACCAACTAGGAGAAAGACAACAATTAGGTCTCCTTTTCTGAAACAAATCACATGTATTCACCTTCTTGCACACCTGTCTATTTGACACAAGTTCTATTGTTAGGTGTTCTTTGCATAAATATGCTGCTAATTTTTTTTCTTTAATTCTACTTGAAGGGCTGCAAAGGTTCTCCATGAATCTTATTTCAATATATTCATGCTATTGATAAGCAATTATTACGTAAAGCCTAGCCTCAGGTTGCAGTATTTATTCCCCCTGCCCCCAAACCTTTTGCCCACAGCCAGGTCTGATTGTGTTCTACAATAAACACAACTAATAGCCACCGACTACTTGAAAGAGTCCCAGTTCACCTCCAAAATATTTACTTCAGAAATCCTTAACCACCCCTGAGCTTTTCTATATCAAAATCTGGCTCTTAATATTGCATTGTTAGTAATATTGTCAAACATCGTGCATAAAATTAGTTTCAAGAGCATCTGGAAAGCTTTTGCATGTCAAAGAGAAAAACAGTTTGAAATTATGATAACTTGAACAAACCTAAGATAGTACTGCAGAGTCATGCTACATTGTAAGCAGTCACAAACAGCTTATGTTCAAAGAGGAAGACTTGCACATATAAATAAATGGTCCAAAGTAGCGTACCCTAAAGTTGTAAGCACATTCATCCAAATTTGAAGAATAATATAGTGGTATGAGTTAAACAATAAGAGGGATAGAGCTTGTCGGACCTTAATTGTTTTGGGGTCATTTGTTTTCTTTTCTTGAAACTTCAAAGTCGTACTTGTACATCTTTCTCCCTTAGTAATGCCAATTTCACCACGTTCCTCCTTTACAACACTATGTGAGTCAGATTTATTCAAGTCTTTGTGCCCATCCAAAAGTCCAGTATCATGTAGTGAGGAATCTGAGCTTGAGTTTAAGGCAATGACTTCTGGAGTCTGCTTTTTGTAGAAAGAAAAATATGTATTGATTATATCAGTTCATTATAAAATTGTTAGAGGATCAAATTACAAAATTAGGATCGTTATGAGCATTAAAAGCACTGGATTCAAAAACAGCAAACAAAAATCATGTGTATATAAATTAATAAACCTTTTTCAGTTGATCCATTTCTCTAGATAGGTCCCATCAAATACCTTCATTCCAAAGGTAACCATATAACGTTTTGATCTCGAAAAATGCAGAACCAACAAGCAACAAACAGGAGAAGAAAGTTTGGGCAGATAAAGAGGAGGAAAATCTCAACTAATCCAAACATGCCTTTGAAAAGCAATAAAGTAGGAGGAAATAAACTATCCTATGATTGGCAGATCCGAAGGTGAATAAATTTGAATACATGTGACACTATACAGGAGGCTTCATATAACCATGTCGAGTTCGGATTGCAAGTTTGCAATGACCTTTTTATCAACATTAAAAGTGAATACTCCATTATGGAGATTTTATTTGGAGAGAGATTCCCTATGGCATGCTGTCATTAAAAGCACGTACCGGATGCAAGAGAAGGGGTGGTATTCTAACATTGTGATTCATGGTTCAAGCAGATGCCCATGGAAAGATACTTCTCAAGTCTCCAATTCTTCTTCCTCTAGCTGTCAACTTGTGGTGGGTAATGAGGAAAGGGTGAAATTTTGAGAAGAGATATGGGTGGGGGAAACAGCTTTGTGCCATTCTTAGCTAGCTTGTATGGAATATGACAACATCATAATTCTTCTATTGGAGGGATGTTGGCTGTTCTGTTTTAGTAGAAATTTCAATATCAGGAAGTTGGGGAATTCATATCTCTAGTATCTTGGTTGGAGAGTGTTATGCTTGTGCATAATCCTTTTCTTTCTCATTTCCTTCCCTCTTCTACAATATGGAACACCAAAATACCTCCAAAGGTAAGGGGTTAGCTTGGATTATTGCTCCTTGAAAAGCTAATGCCTGTTATATAGTTCAGAAGACCTTATCTCTGTCTCTCTCCTCATTGGTGTCTGATGTGCAAGAAAGATGATGAGAGCATCGATCATCTGTTTTTGCACTGCCCAGTAGCATTTACTCTTTGGTTAAGGTTATGTAGGGGTGGTAATTTGAGCTGGGTGATTCCAGCAACATGTGTTGCATTGTTTTGGAAGAAGCACAAGTATTTTGGAGGTAGGAAGTGGGATGTGATCTTGGGAAGATGTGCTATGTTGGCTATTATTTTGGTGGTGTGAATAAAAAGAAATAGATCGGTATTTGAGGATGCAAGGGTGAGGAGATTGATTATTTGTGGGAGAGGTTGTGTTTCTGGGCTTCTCTTTGGGCATTGGTATCTTCGGAGTTAAGAGTTTGTTTTCTGTTATTTTATCAAACTAGAATGCTGTTGTTTCTTAATGTATTTTTTATTTTTGTCTTGGATGGTTCTGAGTCTTGTCCTTGGTATTGTGCAGTTGCTTTTATTAATAAAGTTCAGTTTCCTTTTATTTTTTTGAACATTAAAAGCAAAGACTAAATTTTAATAGTCACCTGCTCATCTTTCTCCGGGAAGTACTTTCTCAGAAGAGCCTTCAGTATGTCGTGTATATTGTCTGCAGGTTCTCTATGCATTAGTAACTGGACGTCATTATTATTCTCATCTTTACTTCTCAAATTCCTTGTAGAAATGTCAAGCCAAGCAATCTTTTCTCTCAAAGCACAACCGCATATTTCAGACCATTCTTCATGTTCAGCCCAGGCTAGTTCACTTTGAAGAGCCACCAAATCCTTTTCAAGTTCATCAATTTCAGTATCTGCCTTTGTTATTAATATCTTCAACACTTGTATGCAACATTTCTCATTTATTGCATCTTCTTCTATCAGATCTATAACGATAAGAAAGACCAGTGTGGCTGTTAAAGCACAAACAGGGACAACAAGGAATGACACCAATGAAATAGAAAGAAACATATTATACCACGACCACAACCAAAGCAGAAGTCGCACTCCCATCCAGATTCTGCGCCGTAAATGCTCCCAGGTGCAACTGATAAGCAAGCATTCAGTTCAGCTAACATTAGTACAAACTCTACAGCCACATGTACCTAAGATAAGATCTACAACAATGTATTTCTTCAATATGAAAACTAGCCAGCATGGTGCAAGAGAGGTTAGGGAAACCTTGATGATCTGGTGAATCCCATAGATCCCAAGAGTCATATGGTGAACTCCATAGATCCCAAGCCATGAATTTCAAAGGTATATATACATATATAATATCCTGAAATGCAAATACGAAGAAGTCATGATTCTTTGACCAGGACATTAGAGCACAAAGATAGTTAAGTTCATTCATTTGATATAGAAGTTTGAAGCAAATGCTATAACTTGAAAGAGGGCTCAACCTGAGGTTCAGAATATCATGTCAACCAAGTCCAATTATCCAGCAACTTATTTTATGAAAATGGAACCGAAATCGTAATCAGCAGTACACCACTAGGAGTTTAATGAATACCTTAAGAATGAACATATATGCAAATGGGACTTAAATTTCAATCGTTAAATTAGAAAACAAACAATAAAGGAGTGCAATGACTAAAAGCTTAGCCACTGCAATATTTTAATATTTTTTATTACTTAAGAAAGCTAATAAAACCAGACAGTCATCCAGTTCTTCCGCCAAAAGCTACCCACAAACTATCAAGAAAACGGGCAAAAAACTACCGTTTGCAGCTTTCCCCCACCCCGGCCGGAAAAAGAAAATAGTATATATAATTAGTATTATATAAAATAAATAAAAGAAATATAAAAGAAATAATGAAAGCTCGTAAATGTGTATGTGAGTATCTCACCAACAAAAGACTGAATGAGAAAGTTCAAGCATAGTAGTTGAAAATGAAAGTTTTAAGCAAACGACAGAGTAAGGGAAACAAGGAAGATTACTCTTTTAGCGTCGAGGCATGAAAAACAGAGCTCCAGTAGGTTGTGCCATGATAAAAGTAACGGAGAAAGTGAGAGAAAATAAGAGAATGTACCTTTCTCGGAAACCAAACAGAACGGAAGGAAAGGGAAAAGGGGGAAGAAAAAGACGGTATTTGAGAGATGAGAAAAGCCGCTAAGAATCGGAGTGGAAATGAGAGCCCATTCTCCGAAAAAGAAAAATCTGAGAAAGCAATGCGTAGGGTTTCGCGGCGTTGAAGTTAGAGAGCGAAAATGCGTACCAGAGTCGTCTTCTCTCTCTGTCACTCTCACTCTCTCTGGCTCTGCTGGTGACAGAATGAGAGCTGCTGCTGCCTATTAAAAGCGACGAACTGCTGCTCGTTTGGGAAAGAGAGAGAATGGGTGGGAAGGAAACGGAATTTGTTGAGGGGTAATATGGTCATTTTACGTAACTTCTTTGTTTTCTTTTGGTAAAAAGTAACTTCTTTCTTTTAAGCTTCATTACTCGTGAGAGTTTATTTGAGGGAAAGTTTTGTAAGGCTCGTACTATATTCCACTAATCCAAATTCTCTATGTTTTAGATAATCATTCAAAAATCATCGCTATAAAAAATCACTTAAATCCGATATCTTTTGACCACTCAATTGTGTTATTGAAAGTGTTTCCCTTTTTTCGATCGGGTAGGCCAATTGATGGAGTTTTTTGTCCTTCTTCTTTTAGATTGCGTAGGCGTGCCACCACCAACCCACTGACTGGCTTGAATGGAAAAGGTTGGATTGTTGTGTTCACGCTTCTTACTTCTAACCAGCCTATTGATCGGTCAAGCAAGGAACCTCCTATTAGCCTAGGTTCTTTCACTTCCTTGGGGTCGTGGATGGTTAGGTTTCGTATAGGTATTTTAGTATTTTTGAGATTTTTAATGATAATGATGTCAATTAAATTAAAATATGCGATTAAACTTAAAGACGAGAATTAAAGTGCGATAAAGTAAATCAAAGCGATAAATAAACTTAAATTAAACGAAACACGAAATAAGAATGATATAAACGATAAAGGCAATAAAATAAAGCAGTTTGAAATTAAATTAAGCTTAAAGAAAATTCGGTAACAATTAACAATAAAGCAATAAAATTGAATCCCAAAACAACGAAATGGAAAATACAAGAAATTAAACTTACACTAATGAAAGTGAAGAACTGATATAGTCTACTTGCTTGGAAATAGAAACCTGGTTTAGGGATAGAAAATTGAAAGACAAAAAGTTGTGTCTGATGTCGGGGTCCTTCTCCCTTCATCTGATGAGGTTTATATAGAGGCATCTGTCAGCCCATGGGTTGGCTATTAAATGTCCAAAGGTCAACTTCATTCAAAACCTTTCCTTGTGAAGCCTTCAAATCTTTGGGATCACAATGATGGAGACCTTCTCATTGCTTGATTCTCTCTTCTTTTGGAATACTCCGGATTGTCACCAATCTCCTTGAATTCCTTCTTTATGAAGCCTTCATCACGTGCACGTTATCTCCGAAAATCATGGGTTCTAATATGTGTCTTGGGCTTGGACCTTTGAGACTTTAACTTGACATCTTGTGAAACATTGTAACTTCTGGAATTCTGAGCTTGGTTAAAACATCCATTGATGTTCATGACTTGGAATTTCTTGACCGGACTTGGAGTTGGGTTTGACTTGGCTGATCGAAGGCCAAGATCTTGGCTGATTAGAGGACTTGACCTTAGCTGATCAGAGGACTTGACCTTGGCTAATCAGGAGACTTGACCTTGGCTGATCATGAGACTTGATCTTGGCTGATCAGGAGACTTGGACTTGGCTAATCAAAGGACTTGACCTTGATTGATAAGATGACTTGGCCTTGGCTGATCAGATGACTTGACCTTGGTTAATCAAATGACTTGGCCTTGGCTAATCAGATGGCTTGACCTTGGCTGATCAGATGAATTGGCCTTTGCTGATCAGGAGACTTGATCTTGGCTGATCAGGAGACTTGGCCTTGGCTGATCAGAGGACTTGACCTTGGCTAATCAGAGGACTTGACCTTAGCTAATCAAAGGACTTAACCTTGGCTGATCAGATGACTTGGCCTTGATCCACTTCAGACGTTCTAGATGTTTCGACTTTGGAAGTCAGATGTTTTCAACCCATTGTTGGAAGTTGGGTTTCGACTTCTAAGATCTTAGTCTGAATAATGATGGAACATCATGTATCTTAAGCTATAAACTTTACTGAAGATTAAACAAGATAGGGTGCAGGATGACCCCCAAGTCCGGCCTTCTTGTTTCGATTTGGCCATTAGGCACCTTGAGCCGCCAATTTGCATTTTGTCCTATTGGTTTTCCAAGACGTATGGTCGGACTTTGACCAGGGTCAAACAGAAAGTTTAGCACTTTCTTGAAACACCGTGTTCATTGATTTTGTAGGATACAATTGGATGTCGAATCAGTTTCCGATTTGTGTAATTTTTTACAAGGATGACCTATGAATGTAGACTTAAAAAATACATGGTTTGGATCGTTGGAAAAAAAAAAATTTGTAGGGTGTCCAAAAGAGTATCACTCAAATAAAATTATTTGAGAAATTCCTCAATAAAAAGGGACTGTATATATATATATATATGTTTATCATTTCTCATTTGAAAATATTCATATTTGTTGAAGAATTTTCATTAATTACCCTTTCTTTTTGTCAACTATAACGAGGCTACTGATTTCATAGCCATGTAAATAATGAACAAGCCACATCACGATATCTAGGCACATAATATCATATCACCTAACAAATGTGCTTTCAGTTTTGCCATGTAATTTATATGTTGAGGCCGAATAAGTTTCACCTTGCCACATAATTTACATGCCGAAGTCGAACAAGTTTCACCATTCCCAAATTCTGAATTTCAGAAAATTTAGAATGTAGGAAAAGTTATTCTTAGAGAAAAAATAATAATGGTATTTGAGTTATTAATGATTCAAAAACTTTAAATATGAAGACTTCATTGTTATTAAAAAAATGTAAAGAGTCTGCTATTTTTTGTTTCAATCCCTCCTAGCTCACCACTCTCCTCCACACCTTGCAATGAAACCTTTTTTCTTTTCTTTTTTTTCACAACAATTTTAATAGTTTTTAAAGAAAATTTTATTTGTTCTTCAAAGTAACTTCATGCACTTGTGTAAATAAATGAATTGGTGCATAGGAATAGTTTCAAAGTGTATTTAACAATTCAAAAGGGGTTTAGCCTAGTGAAAAAATGTCTTAACTTGTAGACCAATACTATCAAGTTCGAACTCTCATACCTTGGTAGTGTGTGTGTGTGTGTGAGTGTGAGAAACCCCCCTCCCTTTTGTAGTTTAGACTATACTCGCTTGTATTTATAAAAAAAAAAGTAACTTTATGCACTCGTGTAAATAAATGAATTAGGGCGGATGAATAATCTAATAGTGTGTTTAACAATACTCATTTAAAAATATCAATAATTATCGAAACATTTTCCTCTACCTACGAATTGTTTGTCGATTACAGTCATGCAAGAGAGATCTAGAACCCTTGTCGTGATGTGCAGGACCAACATATCATATCACCCGACAAATACTCTTTTTCACGTATTTTCAGTGTTGCCACGTAATTTACATGCTCCAGTCGAATAAGTTTCACTATTCCCAATTTGAAATTACCAAAAACTAAAATGAAATTACTAAAAAGGAATATATGACCAAATTTATTTACTCCCTCCCATCCTATCCCACCCTCACACTTATCAAACTCAATTTCT